TACTGACTTTTCCTTTCGACTGGTCAACTCATATGTGGTCAGATCTTCAAATGATATTTGACAAGCCTGCGTCTGAGTCTTTATGTGGTTTGATGCATATGCTTGTTCTTCATTTTACCTGAACTCATGTTCTTCTGAAACACTAACACACTTGTTAGAAATAACAACGTGTATTATATTTGTCTCACTCAAAACCTCATTGGGAGTCTCTTTGTCTACCTTAATAGGAATAAGCTTCGTAGTGCTTTGAGAAGGAGACATTTTCCTCCATACTATGACCGAGAAAGATAGTGAATAGTACAAATACATTTTTAATACATAAATGATGAAAAGAATTTCAGGGGTCAAGTAAACAATTAATAGAAAGCCTTTTCTATTATAAATAGCAGTTTAAGCTCACCTCTACTACATTGTAGGTGTTTGAGAAAAGTTCCATATTCGTTATACAGTGTATAAAATGTTGCATCAATGACTCTTTATTATTATTATTTATTTAATTTTTTGTAAGGCTTAGGAACTACATTATAAGCACTTAGCAGAAATCTCTCAAATGGGGTGAATATCAAACCTTGTCACTTAGCATGTGATCAACTTCAATATGTTCTTAACAAACTAATATACAATTTTAAATCCATTTATCAGAAAACACGAGAAATAAAATAGATAAAGTAGTAAATCATACAAATAGCTTTTTAATACATTGGTAGACATATCTGAACAATGTTCAACTACATTGACATAAAAAGAAAGAAGCACTGAAATCTTCAAACACGACCTGCAGGAATCTTCAAGTCTTGGATCTTAAAGCGAGGGGAATTCTGATCACAAGGAAGAATAATTTTTAGTTTCAGAATAAAACATTTTTTTTTAAATAAAAATGGAAGAAATTCAATTCCAAGCAAAGGTATTTTGAATTCCTAATAGAAACATACAGAGTGATTATTAGGTTTTGATTACTTGAGGATAAATGATTAGGTAAACAACAAATTGATTAATATGTTTTTGGAAGATTAAAAATTATTCTTGCAAATTTTTTGGGTAACCAAGTTCCTTCTCAACTTTAACTGTGATAGTAACCAAGCCACACTCTTTGGGTTATTTTTGTAATTTAATATTGTATATGTAGATATATATAGGAAGGAATATAGTCAAACTCCACAAGGCTGGAAGTTATTGTAAACAACTTTTGCAATTTTCCACCCATAAGTTAAACATTTGAGAGAAGGATTAAGATATTCAATGTGGAAAATAAGTACTCTTCCACTTCCAAACTCTGAAGTTGTTGGGTAAACTCTGAAGTTGTTGGGTATCTGGTTGAAGTCCTTCAAGAATCTCCTCAATATTTTATTGTAATTCCCACTTAAATGACAAAACTAATTGATTCAATTGCTTACTTGACATTTTATCTTCTTTTGCATCCTCTACTTTTTTACTTTCTCCACATATATGTTTGATGTGAAGAGTTCCTTTAAGCTTCAATGGTCCCAATTCTTCCAAAACGAACCCTTTTTCATCACCAACTAAGTATGTGCTTAAACTCCTTAAGGAAGTCAACTTCCCTATGTGAGGAGGCAACCTTGAAAGTTTTTGACATCAATTAATAGATAGTAGTTGTTGTTGGAAAGTCTCAAATCGTCTACCTCAATTCTTTGGGTGTCATTTATATATCTGTTAGACAATTTTACTTAATATCAATTGATTTTAAGATGAATTCTAAGACTTGTAAAAATTTTAAGCATATCAATTTGTTAGAAAAATTTTCAAGATGAGTACAATGGTTTAACTTCAATATCTGCAAATTCTACAACTTACAAAATGATTCAAGAAGAAAGAATAACATTTGATTATATGAAGATGAGGTTGGTCAATGCTATCTCTACTATGCTCTAACCAGGTCCTCAAAGACTTGACTTGCTACAATTGAATTAAGTTGGCTACTTTATATGAAATTCTACTGTAATTTGAGACATGATGGATTCTTTAGTAATTACACCATTGTCATTTGTAGCCTAACAAACATTTTCTGCAATAGATTATGTAAGATCATGCATCTTAAAAGTTCTAACTTTGCCATATTTATCTATTTTACTATCCTGAAAAGATGACCTCCAATATAATTCATTCCAGACACTATCATCAACATCTTCCACATCTAATATTTCATTTGATGTAATGGACCCATTAGCCATTCAAAGTTCAATTAACTCTTGTTTTTCTATTCTTTCATCTTCGAGAAATATTGCACAATTTGCAAAACATTGTTTAAGTTTAATCGGTAAGTTCAAGTAACTTAATCTTAAGACAACCATTATAGAGTTTTCATTGTGTGATAACTCCAAAAGGTTGTTTTCCTTAACATTAAACCACTCATTTTTATTTCTTTTGAATTGTAAAAGACCTCTTAGTGCTTTTGCTGCAACAAGAACTCTCCCACACTTCTTCACTATCTCCATGCCTATGTTTTCAAGCTTTACCTGTTCTACTCCATTTGGTCCAAAGGCTTGGTGTTTAAACAATTCTCATCAATCATTGTAAGGTAGCATTAATAATTTATGAGGATGCTTTATTGTTCCCATGATTTCTTCCACTTATGAAATACGATTAGTGACCAAAATTGAAGTGCCCCCTGCCCCACAAGTTAGTACCGATTTCAACTTCTGCCAAGTCTCTTGCTTATCATCCCCAACATCATCTAGCACAAGCAAATATATTTTACTTTGAAGTAGATCTTAAAGTTTTCTTTATAGTGGATCTAGATCCAAATCATTGTAGACGTCCCTAGATGCTGCTTCGATTATAACTTTTGTCATTCTCTTCAAGCTGAAATCTTTTAAAACAAATACTTAAATTCTTGGCTCAAAATGGTTGACTATCCTTTCATGATTGAAGATGATTTGGGCAAGTGTTATTTTTCCAAGTCCACCAAGACCTAACATTGGATACACTTATAAATCCTTAAAATGAGAAGCATCAACATCACCAATCAAAAGATCTACAATTTTGTTTGTATCTTCATCTCTTCCATAGATGTTGTTCGGTGGTCAATGAGCTAGTTTGGCATCATTATGTGACTTGGCTTCTTCTCTTTGAGTCATCTCAATCAAATGAAATTTCTTCCTTTCTTTAGCAATTTTATTTAATCTCTTATCTATTTGGATTTACGAGTTTAGAAAGCTTATTTTTTTAATCTTTATATTAAATCAATTAAAAAACATAAAAGCTAGGAGTCGTCACTCTGATCGCCTTTCCACTTAATGTGAAGTATCGAGACACACCACAAAGAAAGAGTTAATAATGAAAATATATGATTAAGTCCGCACAAAGTTCGGTTTTGGTCAACACTCAAAAATGAAATAAAACAAACACAAAATTCAATTCATTCCAATAAAAAAAAAATCCACTAGGAATTATTGAAACAAGACTATAAAACTTTGTAAGCCACCAATTTCTCCATTAGATCATGAGCTCAATTGTGCAAATTATTTTTCTTAATACACTTAAATGGTATTCTTACAAATTAGGAATGAGGGTTGAGTTGTTGTCCCTTATATAATAATTACTTTTAAAAGTGAAAATATTTTTAAATATTATTTTTTAAAGCAATTTCTTGTATTTTTTTCATATCTTTTTCTTTAATTCTTTTTAAATTTCTGTAATTGTTAATTATTATTATTTTTTACATTGAAGTTTTTTCTCCTCAAGTCTCGGTTATATAGACTTGATTTTTTTTTACCATATATGTTACCTTTTCCTCTCAAATCTCAACTGGTTATTTACTTGCTTTAACTAAGATTTTTGGTAAAGTGATAAGATATATTAAATCCAATTTTTAGTTCCTAAACTTTGTCAAAAAATAATGGGATTCAAACTTTTGTTAAGAGAATTTATTTTGAAAACAAAGTTTAGGAACTTTGACCAATCAAACTTTTATTCTGAGACTAAAAATCAAATTTTAAAAAAATTTAGAGATCTTAACCGGTCAAATTTTTGTTTAAAGACTATAAACCTTAACAGAAAAAAGTTAAGAGATCTTGACTAATCAAACTTTTGTTCAGGGATTAAAAATCAAATTTAAAAAAGTATCTTTTTTTTTTTACATCAATTTTCAAAAAAGTTAAGGAAGTAACATAATTAATCCATGAAATTTTAAGGTACATATTTTAAAGTGATATAACATCTTCAAATTTATACATTGAAAGAACATTTCAAGCAATCTTTTAAAATCAGTTTGATTCAAACAGATTTTGATTTGATGTAGAGACTCATCACCAATTTATCAAAATAGTGGTCTTTTTTTTAAAGGTCAAAGTAATATTTTATTCTTTCAAAATATAATCTTGATTAAACATAAGGAATGTTTACCAAGGATTTAGCAAAATACAAATCTGCATCTGGATTATGTGTTTTGTCACATCACATCCAATCTTTAACCACCTATAGTCCCATAAAACATATACAGTAACTGCTTGTGCACTTGACAATTTATATGCATAACAAATTTGACTATATTTCAAAATAATGCATGGCATTCAATCTCTGCCTATGATCCACATTTTGTGAATTTATATATCATGCATAATAAATCCACATCACTCATGCATAATATATATATTATGTATAATATGGCTTATTATCTACCTTTTACTTCTCCCTCATCACACTACACCTAACAAAACTGAAGGGTTCCAAATATCGGCTCAAAAAAGATTGATCAAGTCCACAAGTAATTTGATTCACAGTTGAATCAACAGGCAGTTTGATTTCTCATTGAATTTATCAAACAGATAGGTTCAATTTCATTTTGATGAATTAATAGTTTTCACGGAATGATAAGCTTAAATTTTGAGACTTTCAATTTCAATGAATATTCGAAATCTTTGAAAGCAATCAAGTCAACAATATTAAAAGAAGATTACAGTTAAGTTTGTTGTGTTAGTTTGGGAGTCCAAACTAACTAGAAACTGATATTGGTGGCGTATCAGAATAACTGAAAAGAAAGCTTGTTCAAAGATATTCACAAAATTGTTAGAAAAGAAACTGTATTGTCAAAAAAAAAAAATTGATGTGATGTTAAACAAATTGACCGATAGCAATGAAAACTACTAAGCAACATCAGAGAAACCAAATGTTCATTTCAGCCAAGAAAGGTGACATAATAATGAAAATGGTGAAACAAAAGCATATGCATAAGATATGCATAAATTGAGACCATTCAAATATTATTAGCCACAAAGGTCTTCTTCAGATCAGCCCAGTCATCTTCGACTCTTTTCTTATTGGTTAGGGCCACTTTGTAAGAAGTCTCAGACTCCCTCAAAGCTGTGATGATAGTCTTGCATTCTGGCACCCATTTTGCAACCTGAGTCTTTAACTTGTTATTTTCAGCATCACAAGAGTCCAAGGCTTTCTTTAGCTTTTCTCTAGTCAGAACCAAAGTACATAACTTGTGTTCTAGTTCAACAATCTCAGAACAGATCTTTTCAAATTGTGTTTTACCTTCAGAGACTTTAGAATTAATTTTGTCCTGCTGGGATTTGGCACTTTCCAATTGCTTTGATAGAAGAGACCTTGACTGGAGCAGCTGATCATAATCTTGGATAGTTTTTTGGGCAGTCACATATCTGATATCAACATTTTCAATGAAATTTTTTAGCTTGTAAATCACAGCATGAAACTTGACAGGGACTTGGTCTTTAAATTGGCTAAGTTGCTCCAAAACTTGATAGAATTGTTGCTTGACTTGATCATCAGAAGAGAGAATTTCAAGGGATGTTTCCAAAAGGGTCTCTAGCTTTCTAAGGATAGCTGCCACATTTGGACCTTGGACTTCAACTTCTGAAACAGTTGCTAAGTGAGTGGACATAGGAGACATATCATAACTATCAGATAAAATGCTCTCTAGCTCAGCAATTGGATCCCAATCTGGTTCATGATGCAGATTGTCAATCTCCTCAATTGTATGAAATCTCTCCGACATTACCGGCACAGAAAATTTATCCCCTTGATTGTCACCTGAGTCCTTTTCTTTTGGCATTTCACTAGTCTAGTTTAACTATAATCAATGTTGCTACTTTAGTGTCAAAAGGGTTAATCTGATAAATAATATATGAAATGTCATTTATCAAATAAAGACAATAAAATTGCAAAAGTGAGTGGTAGTTAAGCAAAGGCCATTGTAGTTGTGCAAATTTGTTTGACATATGTAGTAGGAAGATACAGATAAAAATACTTTAGAAGTTCAATTAAAAATGAAGAATAGTAGTAATAAAACAAATAAGTCACTTACTTGATTTTTAGGTTTTTAATTTTTGTTGTAAATTAGTAATTCTCTTCCTGGAAACTTTATGGTTTTTCTCTTACAGCCACCTGCTGCTGAAAGGAAAACTAACAAAATAAAAAAATTAATCTTTAATTTTTGCTTCCATTTCTAGTCGCCTATTACTCAAAATCCTTGGAGAATTCAAGCAAAAGAAAATCCTTAATTTCTTAATTAATTTTAACCTGCATATTCTTACAACAATCTAATCTTAATAGTCAAGCAATAATATCACTCATCACAGTATTGAGACATTAACGAGATTTGACAATTGTATGACTAATTATGCCCAAAGTGCAAAAACTACTTAAACAGAGGAAACGCTAGGACTTTGGTCCAAGTTTGTAATAAAACTAGCAAGTATTTCGTGTGTTTCCAATTCAATCAAACCAAGCAAGATTGAAATCCAATAAACTGGGTTCAACTTCACATCAAAGTAAAGTTGGATCGGTATAGTAATGGGTTTGGATAGTTAAAAAATAACAATTTAAAATAGCATAGATGGCAGCAAATGAAAACCCAAGAAGAATTGCGTAGCTTCTACTTGACATCAATTTAACACTTGCTTAACACATAATTAGATTAAAAATATTAAACCAACATATCAATCGCAATTCACCAGCTTAATCGGATAAGAGGAGGGTCTAGCTTAGATTAGAAGAAGAAAATTAGATGTTCCATAACTTTTTACTCGGACAAGACAACATTCGAGTGTACAAAACAGATAAAGCTCTCTTAACCCATTCTATCTCAGCCAAAATGGGACAAAACAAGAAGCAATGAAAAAAAAAAAGTTGAGCTAAAGAAAGGGAAGAAAAGAAAAGCGTAAATTACCTTAGCGCGGCTCCGTGATGCACCAGAAAAAAATGAGGGTCGATGACTATCTTGGTCCTGCCATCATCACCTTGAGCTTTGTTAGGAAGGGTTAATAGGTATTCCTTGAATCTACAGAGAAACTTCATTGAAATTTCTTCCATCCTAATGGTAAAAAGTAACTAAATGATAGAGTTATTTTATGATATTTGTTTGAAAGGATATTTTATAAGAATTATTTTTATCAGAGAAATATAATATAATTTTATTTACGAGTCTCTATTTATAAAAAAAATTTGTTATACAAAATCAAATATTGACATTATCCTATTCTAAAATAAGAAAATAAATATTAAAATAATCAGAACAAATTAAATTTAAATATTTAAAATATAAATAAAATATTTTTATAAAAAAACTAACTTAATTTCTTAAAAATATTTAGGCATATTCCTAATACTCCTCATTGACTGAATATCTTTATCACCTAATTTGAGTTTCAAAATCTGTCATTACTTCTTTCGAAGGTGGTTTTTCATCATCTTCATTCTCCTCTTGATCATCAAACTTCTTTTGAAAATATGCATCTTTGTGCGCTTCACTTGTATCTTCATTTATAATTGGCTCCTCCTTCTCCAAATTTAAAGCAAAACTTTTGCCTTTCATATGAACATTAAACACTTCTTTGTTGGGTATATCTTTAATCACATAATTTTTATCTTCAAATAACACTTTATAGCCTTTTCCTAATAATTGAGAAACACTCAACAAATTTTGGTTAATATCAGGAACGTATAAAACATCAGATATTAATTTAAAACCTGAATGACTCTTAATAGCAAGTGTTCCTTTGCCTTTTACTGCAAGGTGTTCTCCATTCCCCATTTGAACTTTAGAGATATCAGTTTTGTTGAGTTCTTTGAAGAGTTCTCGATCATAGGTCATATGATTTGTACAACCACTATCAATAATCCAAGCTTTTGAGGGTTTTTTGGTCATAAAGCATGACATTGAAAGTAGTTCTTCTTCTTCCTCTTCTTGTTGATCTTCAACAAAATCTTTAGCAATGTTGGCTTCTTCTTGTTGCTCATGAGATTTGCATACATGTTTTAGGTGTCCTAATTTTTCGCAATTGTCACATTTTACATCAAGTCTCCACCAACATTTATGTTGTGGATGATTAGTCTTTTTGCAATAAGGACACGGTGGAAAAATTTAAGTGTTATTATATTGACTGTTCTCTTGAAACAATTCATTCTTCTTTTTTTTGCCACTATTTTTGTTCTTCCATTTGGCTAAATATACACCTTCCATAGATCTTTCTTCTCTCATAAGCCTCCTTTGTTCTAATGCTTGCAATGCATGTAATACCTCTGCCAAAGTGATCTTACTCAGATCCTTTGTATTCTCCAAAGCCGCTATTGAAGCTTCATATCTTTCAAGTATAGTTACTAGAATTTTTTCAACAATTCTAGAATCAAGAAATTGCGTTCCTAGTATTCGTACCTTATTAGCAATGCCAAACAATTTGTCTAAGTATTGTTTGATTGTCTCAGTCTCCTTCATTCTTTGTATTTCAAATTCTCTCATTAAATTTAATACTTGCATACTTCGAATCCTTTCATCTCCAGTATATTCTTCCTTTAGATAATCCCAAATTGCTTTTGCCGATTTGAGAGTCATAATCCTGGTGAAAATATTTTGTGAAATACATGCAAAGAGACAACTTTTTGCCTTTGCCTTCTTGATTTTCTTTTCTTTGTGAATTTTCATTTGGGCTACGGTAGGATTGTCTGGCAACGCAGAAACATCATAATCTTCTTCTACGGCTTCCCAGAGATCTAAACCTTCTAGGTATGCCTCCATTCTCACCGCCCAAAGATCATAACTTTCTCCATCAAAAATAGGTGGGGAAATTTGTGAAAAGTTTGTGTTGGGCCCGATAGTCCACCTGTTGCTCCACCATAGTATGATATTGTCCGCTTTGGGCTAGGCCCGCACGGTTTTGTTTTTGGGCTCCTTCCTAAAAGGCCTCATACTATATGGAATGATGGACACCCTTATAAACTAGCCAATGTTTCTTCATTTTACAGATGTGGGACTTGGGATGAATCCCAACAAACCTCCCCTCAGACCAAGGACCACATGTCTCGTGACCTCCTCCCCTGAAGCGATAATCTGCCACCATCTTGTACCGCCGTTAACTCTACGGGACACGTCGCCTGAACACCACAATATCAGGAAGACTTTCGACCCAAGGCACCAAGCTCCGATCTCCATCGCGAGGCACAACACTGAGGGTCTCCCCGCATCAACCCCAGCCGAACCGTTGGCTCTGAGACTACTTGTTGGGCCCGATAGTCCACCTGTTGCTCCACCATAGTATGATATTGTCTGCTTAAGGCTAGGCCCGCACGGTTTTGTTTTTGGGCTCCTTCCCAAAAGGCTTCATTCTATATGGAATGGTGGACACCCTTATAAACTAGCCAATGTTCCTTCATTTTACAGATGTGGGACTTGGGATGAATCCCAACAAACCTCCCCTCAGACCAAGGACCACATGTCTCGTGACCTCCTCCCCTCAAGCGATAATTCGTCACCATCTTGTACCGCCGTTAACTCTACGGGACACGCCGCCTGAACACCACAATATCAGGAAGACTTTCGACACAAGGCACCAAGTTCGGATCTCCGTCGCGAGGCACAACACTGAGGGTCTTCCTGCATCAAACCCAGCCGAACCGTTGGCTCTGATGCCACTTGTTGGCCCGATAGTCCACCTGTTAATGTATTCCGCCTGGATCGACCATCAGAGGGGCAGCGCCTCGCTTCCGATTCACAGAATAAGTAAAATAACGTTAAAAGTCCATCAGAGGGCCCAACAGTTTGTTTCCGCTTCCATCTCCAAGATCGTAACCTTAGCTCCTGATACCACTGATGGGGTTATTTTATAATATTTGTTTGAGGGGATATTTTATAAGAATTATTTTTATCAGAGGAGCATAATATAATTTTATTCATGAGTCTCTATTTATAGAGAAAATTTGTTATACAAAATCAAATATTGATATTATCCTATTCTAAAATAAAGAAATAAATCTTAAAATAATCAGAACAGATTAAATCTAAATATTTGAAATATAAATAAAATATTCTTATAAAAAACTAACTTAATCTCCTAAAGATATTTAGGCATATTCCTAACATTATACAGTAGGCAAGAAAGCTTGACGAAAATTTACCTCACATCATTGAAATTATTTCCCCAGATCAATTTTACTTCATTTTATGGTTTGTCACTTTGTCTCCCTTCCGGTGCCCCTAAGTTACATCAACTAAAAACTGTTGCACAACATTTGTGTGGTATGATTCACATGACCACACGTTTAGATAAATTTTTCCAAAATTTACTTAAGTAGAATATAAAATAAGAAAGCATAAAGGATAAATTTATTATTTCACATAGAGTACTTAGTCCCTTGAATGAATCTCAATCTAGCTCTCAGCTAAGGGATAATCCGGTTTACTTAAAAAAATCAACAAAAAATTCCAAGTCAGGTAGAACTTGTTGAAAAATTATGCAAAATTCCTCATAATCAAATTAGTGAGACACAAAATAAATACAAAGTAATCACATCAAAAAATTAATAACGGAGTTCAACTAAGTGCTTATGTCTATGAACTACTACAGATATATTATTGATAAAAGAGAAAATATAAACAATATTTACAAAACACTCAACCCACAATCCAAATAACCTAAGAAATAAAATATTATTTCTTAAACTCTCTTTTTCTTTCTTTTATTTGGAATTACTTTACATAGTTATAACATGGTGTTATTTATACATACATACAAAGTTTCTAATCCTCTCATTTTTGTTTTCCTATTTTCATGCATTTCTTTAATTTTATTGATTTTCTTATTTTTCTGCAACAAAGGAATACCCACTTTCATAAATTCTATTTGCATGACCAAGTCCAACAATTTTATTGATTTTAATTTGTTTTCACATCTTGATTAATACAATAGTCTTATCTTGTCTGTTATTTTAGCAAGTCAACTAAAGTTGAGCACAACTTCAATTTGTTGATGGTTACTACCTTTGTCAACATGTGTGCTAGATTCTTACTTCCCAAAATCTTTCTCAAGGTTAACACAACATTCTCGAGCAAAGATCTAATGAAGTGATAACGCAGACTAATATGTTTTGTTCTAAAGTGAAATGTTGAATTCTTCATCAGATGTATTGCATTTTGACTATCACTATGCAAAACAATCTTCTTTTAGATGAATCCTAACTCTATTAATAATCCCTAAAGTCATCAATTTTTTATTAGCTTTTGTTACTACTACATACTCGGTCTTTGTAGTGGATAAAGCAACAATCTTCTGTATTTGCGAAATCCAACAAATAGTTGTAGTACCAATACTAAAAATGTAACCAATGGTACTTCTTTGATGAACAACTTCACCTCCAAAGTCTACATCTATGTAGCCTTATACTTTTAATTTTCCTTTACTAAAGTACAAATACTTCTTTGTAATGCCTTGCAGATACCTCAAAATCCACTTAACTGCTTCCTAATGAGCTTTACCTGGATTTGACATAAACTTGCTAACAACTCCCAGTGCATGCCCAATATCTAGGCTCGTATAGACCATTGCGTACATCAAACTTCCAATGGTTGAAGCATGTGAAATCTTAAACATGAACTCTTTTTCCTTCTCCATCTGAGGGGGCTAATTCTTGGATAAGATAAAATGACAGACCAAAGGTTGCTAACTGGCGTGGTGTCGCCCATGTTGAATTTTTGCAAAACACGGTTGATGTACTCTACTTGAGATAACTACACAATACCTCTTTGCTTATCCCTTGTGATTTGCATTTCAAGGATCCTTTTTGTTAGACCCAAGTCTTTCATGTCAAATTCTTTTGACAATTGTTGCTTGAAGCTTATGATCTCATCTATATTTAAACCAACTACTAACATATCATTTCCATAAAGTAGCAAAATGATATAACTAGACTTATATCTCTTGAAGAAGTAACATTGGTCGGCATTGCACTTTTGAAAATCTTCCTTGTGCTGAAGCTTTCAAACTTCTTGTACCATTGTTTAGGAACTTGTTTCAAGCTATACAAGTTTTTCTTTAATTTGCACACCATATTCTTTTTCCCTTCTTTTGAGAAACTTTCGGGTTGATGCATGTAAATCTCCCCATCTAAGTCTCCATAAAGAATTGTAGTCTTGACATCCAATTAGTCAAGGTAGAACCCTTCCTTGGCAACAATACTTGAAATAGACCAAATAGTATTGAACTTCACAATTGAAGCAAAGATTTCAGTGTAGTCAACTCTTTCCTTTTTCTAAAATCCTTTGACAACTAGTCGAACTTGGTATCTTTGGAGCCATCATGATCTTCCTTCACTTGATACACCCATTTGTTGTGAAGTGCTTTTTTTCCCTATAGGCAACTGTTAGTTCCCATGTTTGATTGGATATTAAAGACTTCATCTCATCTTTCATGACAAGCTCCCATTTACTAGCATTTGTAGTATGACATGCTTCCTTGTAGTTTTTAGGCCCCCCTCCATTAATTAACAATATATAATTTATGTATTTCCTAGTGTGCACATGAGGTCGAGAAGACCTTCTAAAAATAAGAGTCAGAGTAAAAGGTTCTGGTGTGTTAAGTTGTTGGTCATTATTATTTTTAATTGATTTGTCTAATTGATGAGTCTCATTTATTGGAGTTTCTAGGACACCATCAACCTCTGAACACACTAACCCACTTTGTTCTAAGTTGCTAGTGTACATGTTATCCCTATCCTTGTACATCACTCTTTCATTGAAGATCACATTTCTACTACAAATCATCTTTTTGTTTTCATTATCCCATAGACGGTAGCCAAACTCATCCTCACCATAACCGATGAAAGTGCACTTCTTCGATTTGGGATAAAGCTTATTCTCTCCTTGATCACTAATGTGCACATATGCTACACAACCAAAAACTCTAAAGTGTGAGAGTTTTACCTTTTTCTTCACTCCCTACCTCTTTTGGTATTTTGTGTTTCAATGGTATCGATGGATCGTGATTGATTAAGTAAGTAGTGGTGTTGACTACTTCCGTGTAGAACTACTTTGGTAAGCCTGACTGCAAATGCAAGCTTCTGACTTTTTTAGTCAATGTTCGTTTCATACGCTTAGTTACACTAGTATGTAGAGGTGTACTTAGCACGATCCTTTCCATTCTGATCTCGTGGTCATAACAAAGCTTCTTAAATCTGGTGTCTTTATATTCACCACCATTATCCATTCTAAGCTTTTTGATCTTCAATCTTGTCCCATTTTCTACCATGACTTTCCAAATCTTGAAAGTCGCAAATACCTCAGACTTATGTTTCAGAAAGTATACCCATACTTTCATAGAGTGATCATCAATAAAAGTCACGAAATATTATTTCCTATCAATGGATGGGATAGTCTCGAACCCCAAACATTAGAGTGAACAAGCTTAAGTTTCTCCTTCTTTGGGGTTCTTCCACTTGTCTTAAAGTTAACTCGTTTCTGATTTCTAAGTATACAATGTTCACCATGTCAACTTTTAGTGATCAAAAATCAGGTAGTTTATCCTTTGAGTGCATGATCTTTATCTCTTTCTCCTCATATGGCCTAGCCTTTGGTTCCATAGATTGGGATTTTCATTTGTTGCAATTGCAATCAAATGACATGCTCCAACTGTTTAGTAAAGAGTACCATTCTTTTTATCATGACCAATTGTCATTGTATCCTTTGAAACCTTCCAATAATTGTCATAGGAGACTTTTTGTGTAGCCATCACCAGCCAATTGATCTACTGAGATTAAGTTCTTTGTCAAGTTGCAGATATGTCTTACATTTTTCAATTCTCATATAGACCCATTTAACTTAATCTTCACTACACCTTTACTCACAATCTCACAAGATTGCTCATTAACTAGGTAAACTTTATCCAGGTTTCAACGGACACAATTCTTGAAAAATTCTTTCAATGGCATGAAAGGATGTTTCAGAGTCTAACACCCAAGACTCTTCCTTGTTCTCTAAAGAAGATATCAATGCATCTTCTCCTCCCAAGGTAGAAGCAATATTTGGCTTTGCCTTCACCTCTTGATTTTTCGGTACACTTGCACTGAAATTTGTAGTTTTCGATCTTTCCACAATTGCAATACTTAATTTTCTTCGAGTTGTGGAAACTATTATGATTCTTGGACTTGGACCTCCTGTCCTTGGATTTACCATGTCCATTTTCTCTAGTTAAATTTTTTCCTATTGACTGTATGCAAAACTGAAAAGGTTGAAGATTCACCTAACTCTTTTTGTCAAATCTTTTCACTAAGAACTAGATCATGAACATCATTGAATTTGAACTTATTACTTCCTGATGAGCTACTCATAGTTGTGACAGTAGCGTTCCAACTTTCTAGTAAAGAAGACAAAAGTATCAATGCTCGTACTTCTTCATCAAAATTGATTCCAACTGAACTCAATTAGGTTGTGACTATATTGAGTTCATCAAAATGTTGCGCTGCCAATGCGCCTTTTGTCATTTGCAAATTACATAATCGTCTCATCAAATGAACTTTGCTTGAGGCTAATGACTTTTGTACATACTAGAAAGAACAGTCATAAGACCCACTTTGGTCTTTTCTTTTACAATATTGAATGCAACATTGCGGGATAACATTAATCAAATAACTTCGAGGGCTTGTCTGTCGAGAAGAGCCCAATCTTTATCCTTCATGCCATTTGGTTTGTTTCTCGAGAGAGGTTGATACAAATTTTTTTTGATACATATAATCTTTGATTTGCATCTTTTAAAAGCTAAAGTTCGCACCATCTAACTTCTCAACTTTTACCTTTTCCTTATTTGCAACCATTTCTCCCACTCAAATTTGACTCCTTTTAGATCGTTTATAAATTTTTTAGAATTGATAGAAATCACCACAAAAGTTCTTGATACCAATTGTTGAAAATTACATCAAATTTCTTATAATCATTTTTGAGACGTAAAATAAATGTCGAATAATAACACCTAAAAATTGATAATAAAGTGATGATAATTCTGTCTACGTCTCCAAGCTGCTGCAAATATATTATTGATAAAGGAAAAAATATAAATAGTGTTTACAAAATACTCAACTCACAACTCAAATACACTTAGAAAATAAAACATATTTTTTTTCTAAACTCTTCTTTTCTCTCTATATTTTTCTTTCCCATAGTTAGAATTACTTTACATAGTTATAACACGGTATTATTTATACATACATGCAAAATTTTTAATCCTCTTATTTTTGTTTTTCTATTTTCATGCATTCCTTTAATTTTATTGATTTTCGTATTTTTCCTTAACAAGGAATACACACTTTCATGAATTCTCTTTACATGACCAAGTCCAATAGAACACCCATCTCCCCTGTTAAATTCAAATTGAAACTGTTATTACCAAACCTTTTGCTACTTTAGGACGCTTATATAATTATACCAAGCAAATATTTTGTTCTTTGGAAAGAAAACACAGATGAGCCATGATATAAAATTATCAGTATTTTGCTCTTTTTTTTCATTGATATTTTTTTTTACCTCTTTGAGGGGTAGCTGAATACGTATAAAGAAAGCGAATAGGATAGTTATAAAATTTGTTGTGTATATGTTAATTCATTACGGGATGGAGTGCCTAATACTTCCCAGTGAATGAGGGAAAGGACCAGTAAATCTAACACTTGATAAGAAGTTAGTGTTTTATATTAATAATAGAAGAGAAGTGCAAGAGAAATGATAAATATAAGGAGTAATGTAAAAAAGAAGAAAAATGAGTGAGTCAGACATTTAAGTACTGTTAGGATGTGGAAAAATCAAAACTGAATGGATAAAAATGCTACTTTTAACTTGGCATGGATAAGAGAATCTCTACATTGCCATTGATGACTTTTTTTCTTCTAATACATGAGGAGTATTCATAGAGTTTCCTCTTTTAATTACAAAGAGTTCCCAGTTTTAATTACAAAGAAGGCTAGTGTACAATTAAATTAGTGACCACCCCTCTCAATGAAGTCAGAGGTAAATATAACAATTGATAGTGTTTCTTTCTACTTTTTTATTTATTTATTTATTTTTATGGTACGGGGTCATGAGATCATAGAGCATAGTTAGCTGGAAAAACAATTTGTTCAGTCGGTGTGAATTAAAAACAGTTAGCAATTAGCAGAGAATATTAACATCCAACAAAAAAATAATCAAACGTCCATTGTCAACCTAGAAAGGTGTCAAATAACCAAAAATAGTAAAACAAGACCAAATTGCTATGACCTAATGTCAAAATATGTATAAATTGATGGCAATTCAAATCTCATAGCTGCAAAGGTTTTCTTCAGATCAATCCATTCATCTTCATCTTTCTTCTTATTGGTTATGGCCACTTTGTAAGAAATCGTGGACTCCTTCAAAGCTGTGATGACTGTCTTGCATTTTGGCACCCATTTTGCAACCTGATTCTTTAACTTGTTATTTTCAACATCACAATTGTCCAAGGCACTCTTTAGCCTGTCTCTTGTCTCAACCAAAACACTTATCCTTTGTTCTAGTTCAACAATCTCAGAATTGATCTTTTCCAATTGTATTTTACCTTCAGAGACTTTTGAATTAATTTGGTATTGGCGAGCTTTGGCACTTTCCAAATGCTTTGATAGAAGAGACCTTGATTGGAGCAGCTGATCATAATCTTGGATAGTTTTTTGGGCAGTCAGAAACCTGACATCAACACCTTCAATGAAAGTTTTTAATTTGTTAATTACAGGATGAAGCTTAATGGGAACATGGTCTTGAAATTGGACAAGTTGATCCAAAACATGATGGCATTGTTGCTTGACTTCAGCATCAGAACAGATAGTTTCAAGGGAGGTTTCCAAAAGGGTGTCTAATTTTTCAAGGATAGCTGCCACATTTGGATACTGTACTTCAATCTCTGAAACAGTAGTTGAGAGAGTTGACATGGGAAAACTCTTATAACTATCAAATAACAAGCTCTCAAGCTCAGTAATTGGATCCCAATCTGGTTCAAGATGGGGGTTGTCATTCTCCACAAGAGCATGAAATATCTCAGACGTGACTCGATCAGAACATTCGTTTACTTCATTGTTTGCCAAGTCTTTTTCTTCTAACACTTCAATAGTCTGCTTTGAATCGATGTTGGAGGTACTTGGATTGTCAATGAGGATAATCTGATAAAAATATATAAAGTTTAATTTGTCAAATTAAGACAATAGGATTGAAAAAAGTTTTAATGAACAAAAGTTATTATAGGTTATTAATTTGGCATATATAGAGCAGTAGTAACAGATAGGAAAAAATACTTTCTTATTTAGCAATACTAAAACATATATTGGTCACTTACTTGGTTTTCAGGTGTTGAAGTTATATAGTAATTCTCTTCCTCGAAACTTGGTGGTTTTCTCTTTGTACCATCCGCTGCTAAAGCTGAAGGAAACAAAATAAAAAAAAAAATTATTCATTAATTTTTTATTCCAATCCTAGTTGCTTCATCCAAAACCGTTGCAGCTAATTCAAGTATAAGAGAAACCCTGAAATAATTTTATTAAATTTACCCTTTGGGTTCTGACAATAATCCAATTTTAAATGCCTAATCCTCTCGAGATTGAGGAATTAAATATTTCCTTTAGTGTCTAAAGTAAGTGGCATAAAAAAAGCAACTTGCCAAAAGAAGGATTTTTCATTTTTATAATGGTAGTATTATTTTTTAACCCATCTTAGACTTTTTGATTGTTTGTGTATATAGATATTAATACTCAAGACTTCATCAGCAAAATGTTGCAAAAATAAGGAGTTACCGAGAGGAAGTGGTTGAAGTTTCATACCTATGAAATTGTTACAGGAAGAATTTTCATCGGAGTCCACTTTTACATGCTGCAAACCTGTAGTAATTCTTTGGTGCATAACTTGCTGCACTTTCTCAGTCTGGTCATCTTCATTGTCATGTTTAGATCCTTTGACTTGTAACTCATCGATATCATTAGAGCTTTTGAGTTCCAACTCAACAATATCTCTAGAACTATCCCCAAACTCCACCTCCAATCCCTTTTGTTCAGAGGCATAAATGGGGTAGATCCCACACCCCTTTATCCCCTTCGTTGACCATTCTCCATCCTCATCTTCCACCAAGAATTCAAATGATACGTTGGAAGAATCACACGCTTCACCTTTTTGTAATCTCCTAGCCAAGGAATCGTCTCCAAATTTTGCGGTGTCCACAAACCAAAGAAACACATGATCCAAAATCAAATTCTGATCTCCCAATGAGGCGCCTCTGCCATCGATCTTCTCAGAATTTTTGTAGATGAAACAATCAACATAAACATATTTGCCATGTGGTGGTGACTGAGAAAGAAAGACACAAAAAATTAAGCCACATAAGTCAGAAAGTGGTAGATGAGGAATTGTTACTGAAGCCGCTTCAGCATGAAAGCTGAAACTGTCAGGAACATGGGAAATAGGGAGGAAAAAAGATTGAGGGCGATCTTCAAGTCCATGTTTCAGTTGAAAGGGTATGTTCAGTTGAGTGAAGTTTGTCACTAAAGATGTACAATTAACTGCACTTAACAACCACAGAGACTGTGGAAGTTCTGGCAGTGACACAAGTTTCATGCAGTTATCTAAATAAAGCCTTCTCAGCATCGAAAGGTTCTTGATGCTTGCAGGCAAGCTCTCAACATTGCTCCCCCCTAGCTTTAAGCGCTGTAATGATGATAACACACCAATGCTGTCAGGGAGTGTTCGTAAGTTGCAACAATTTTCCAACTCTAGCAATGTTAAAGACCGCAAACTATCGAGAATAAGATGCAGATTCGATGCATTGAGGTGTTTGCACCCAGAAAGGACCACATTATTAAAAGATGCTGTTCTTGGATCACGAGATAACTGGTCCCCAAAATCATCGAGATCGTTACAACCTTGTACGTCAATAAACTGGAGTTTCGCACAATGCCAAATTGATGAGGGAAGTTCCTGGATATTTGTGCCATCTAACCACAATCTCTGAAGTTCCACTGAGGATACTGAAAACTCTTTGAGGGATGAGCAGTTGCTGAGACGGATGCTTTGGAGAGATTTTGAATGAACGTTGGTTTGAAGGCTTTGAATCTCAGTGCAGCCTTCTAAATCTAGAACTTGAAGCTTTGGGAGAGACAAGATGGATGGATGAACTTGACGCAGACTTTTACACTGAGAAAGAGATAAATCTTCGAGATTTGTGGCCATAGATAAGTCTGGGACCTCAACCAGGTTTTCGCAGAATCTAAGGTCAATGTCCTTTAAATTCACAAGATTCTGTAACAAGGAAGAGTGATCACATGAAGAGTATCAAGTAAAAAAGAAATAAGAGTTTCTTCTTTTTTGTGCGTACAGTCAATGACAACAAGGTTAACACATAAAACCTTATGCATCCCACCCAACCGTAGTAGTTCACAAATAAGAGTATCTAAGAATATATAGGCACCTCACACAAGGAATGGCTGCGTACAAATTTAAAAACTAAAGTAAAAAATATTGACAGATTAGTACCTGAATTCCGTCCCAAAGCCTTTGAAGGTTGCTGTAGGGCATGGAAAGCTCAACAAGCAATTTAGCAGAAAAGGTTGATGGCAAAGACTCCAAACAGTACCCATGCCATTGAAGGTACCTTAATTTGTCAGACAATGACTTAAGACCATTCTTAGGAAGGTATATTTTACATCTGCTAGTGCACTCTCCATAATAGAATTTAAGAAATCTTATGTTAGTCATTTTTGTAAAGGAATCAAAGCTCAAATGCAGATCCTCAATTTTAGACACGTCTAATATTATGCCTTCTATTGCTTCAGTTCCCTGACAAACAACATTTAAAATAATAGTTGGTAAATACTAACATACTAGCTGCATTCTACAAACATGCATGCATTTTCCACCATACGTAAAGAAACTTATACTGACCCTATTATATTTCAATACATCATAGACTTCTTCAGGGTCCCACAATCGACTTCGTCTTCCAGGTTCTTTGATAGATTCTTGGTAAACAATATTCCAACCCATTTCTTGTATCAGGTCATGCATTTCTATTTTATCTTCACGGGAAATAGTTATCAGAGACTTATCTTCAAGGACTTCTATTCCAATAGCTGGAAAGAAATTACAAGCTTCCAGAAGACTTATTATGTGATCTCTATATTCTCCTTTGAGGAAGCACGCAATGTCTAGAAATATGTCCTGCTCAATAGGATCTAAGTCATCAAAACTCAACTTTAACACATTATAAATTTTCACATTAGGAATCTTTTGGAGCTTTCTCAATTCACTGATCCATGCTTGTTCACTCCTTGAACGAAGACGTGCACCCAAAACTTTTATAGCCAATGGGTTTCCTTTGCAGTAGGCTATTACACTTTCTGATAGCTCTTCAAATCCATTCTTGGGATGCTTTTCTCTGAAGGCATTCAAACAGAAAAGTTGAAGAGAGTCACGGTGGTTCAATTCCTTTACCTCATATACTTCATCAACATAACCAAATATGTGCTTATCTCTTGTTGTTACAAGCACTCTACTACCCGGTCCTAAACAATCGAAATCACTTATTAGATCTTCTAATTGTTCTGTGGAAGCCACATCATCCAAAACAATAAAAACTTTTTTACGTCTAAGTCTTCTTGTTATAAAATGGGATTCAACTTTGGGCACATGTGCATGAAGATTTTCTCCCGGTAACAACTCAGAGAATAGTGTTCTGCGTAAGGCATCTACACCATGCTTTTCTGATTGTTCCCTTACTTTTGAGAGAAAGCAGTGAGCTTCAAATTGAGAAAACAGTTTTGCAAGTAAAGCAATTGCCAGGGTAGTCTTTCCTATGCCACCCATGCCCCATATTCCAATCACTCTGATATCTCTTGACCCAATCTCCAATAATGATTCAATCTTGGCATAGTTTCCCTCAATTCCAATCAGTCCTTTCAACTCAATTGGGTATATGAGATTCAGTCTGTGTAAAACATCTTTAACAATTTCCTTAATGAATTCGGCCTCGGTCCTGGCATAAAAATGGTGAAAATATTAAAGGAAAGAATGTAGAGTAAGACAGACACAACAACAGAGTTAGGGAATGATAAATTAATTTTCTTAAAAGAAGTTAACTTTTCTTCTGTCTTTACTTGGCAGAGCATACCTACAGCCCCCTAAACTTATTGACCAATTGTATGCGAGGTAATGCATGTATTAATATAAAAATATAGAATATACAGATACAATACAAACACATTGGGACAAATCCTAAAAGTGATAAAACTAATGACACCGGCAAAGTACAATATTTAATAGTTTAAACTTACGTAAAATCAAATTCTAGTGGAACAACGTCACTACTCATTTGTATGGCTTACAAGATTCTTACTTTATTCTGTACGTAGGTTATTTAGGAACTACGATATCAAAATCCATTAAGATCATGGACTTGGGAGAATATATCCAAACAGCATGCATACTCTATTCTTCATTTCTTCTTCTACTTTCCGTTCTTCTAATTCCACAATAAGTAAAAGTGCTTGCTTCTGAAACAGTGGACATTTAAACACAAACAAATCTATATATATTGGCTACTGACAAAAATTTGGTCTGTCTTATGCAGATCTATATTGGGCACACATAGCAATCATGGCATATATATATATATATGTGTGTGTGTGTGAGAGGAGTGTCTTGTAGCATGAATTTGAGTTTAATTCAACTTTACAAGATAAGTTTGCAAGCCAGGACATCTGTGGATGATCTAGTGGTGACTCGATAGATTCAACAACAATGAATAATGACTAGAATAGATTATAATATTTGATAGGCCCAACAATGAATAGCCGGAAACAATGAGATTATCTCTGCTTATATATACTTTTTTGGCCATACTAGTGGAATCTCCTTCAGAGTGGCGCTCTATCACACGCTTGGGATTTTATAGATCTCATGATAAAAAAATAATAAGAAGAAAGGTACAAAATTGGGGTACCTATTTTGAGAGTCCCAGCCAGCCAAATTAGCTGCTTTTGTGAGAGCTTCTCTCCATTTTTTCACCCTATCATTTGTGATCTTAGGATCTCCCTCATGTTCCACAAAAGCTGTCTCGAAAGACCCTCGTTGCTTCCTCACATGTGATGGGTCTATTTTGTAGAACACAGGTATAACAATCTGTCCCTGACCCTCCTTGCACTCCATAATCATAGTGATTTCGTCCAAGCACCATTTGGAGGTAGCATAGTTTTGTGAGAAGATGACAATGGATACTTGTGACTCTTGAATGGCTTGGATGAGTGCTTGCGAGATCTCATCACCCTTTTGGAGCCTGTAGTCTATGTAGATTTCGAGTTTTGCTTGGATGAGAGCGTCGATGGCTTGTGAAGTCTTGGCGTGTGTCTTCGCCCCGAAAGCTGAGAAAAACGTCATGCTTTTTGAGAGAAGAAGAAGAAGAAGAAGCGTAGTTGATGATTTGGTGGTTAGACATTACGACGACTTTTGAGTGCTACACGAGCATTGTTGTGCTGAGAGTTAGGAGAGGGAGGATTAAGGAGAAACAGAATTGTTGAGAGAGATGCGTTGCGTGAAGATGAATTGGGAAGAAAGAAGAAAATTCAACGGCTACTGTAGGAGTATACATATGCTTGACTTCATGACTTGGAAGACTTTGAACCTGTAAATTTCATGTACGCAGTACAAGAAGTTCGCGTCTGTAAAGTCTGGCCATAGCTTCTGTTCTTTTTACTGCCAAATTATTTTTCCTTGTTACGACATGAATGAATATATATACCCAAAAATGACAATATTTTATTTATTATTTTTTTCTTATTATATATATATATATATATATATATATATATTTAGGTCTGTTGGATTGGTTGAACCGAGAATCGATAGTCCAACCGATCCGAATCTTAAGTTGAATTAGTTATACATTTGACCTATTTCAAACTGGAGTAAATCGGCCAATTTTTTGGTTTGACTAGTGAACTGGTGGGTTAAACGGTTCAACCACAATTTTGTTTAAGGGATCACAAACCACAAAAATAACAATGAAAAAATTGAATCATGTTAATGAAAGAGTAAAGAGTCTTATTAAACATAAAAACAATTACTTATTCTAATATATTTGTTTGTAATATATACAATTTAAATAACTTTTACAGTGTATTATTAATTTTAAATTATATATTTAATAATATAATATTTATGTAGATATTATATATATTATTTTGTGATATCAATTGCAAGTATATTATATATGTGCATATTGTTTATATTTTTAATTTGTATTAATATACAGTTTAACGTAATTTTTATGTATTTCTTTATACAAAATAAAAATAAAGATAATTTTAAATAAGATGAAAATTGAAATTGAAAATAGGATATGAATTTATTAAAATTTATAGGTATAAAATATATTTAACATAAATACTTTTTTTAAAAAAATTAATAAAAACCGGGTCATGCGGTTCAATTAATGACTTATCGGTTTAACTTTTGACCCACTAACCCAGAATCCTACCTAATTTGATGACTGGTCTGATTTTTAAAATTATGATATATATATATAATCGGGGAAAAAGATAAAAAGAAAGTTACCTTAGCGTGGCTCCGTGATGCTTCTGGTCCTGCCCTCATCATCTTGAGTTTAGTTAGGAAGGTTTAATATGTATTCCTAGAATCTAGTAAGAAACTTCAACGATATTTCTTTCATCCTAGTAAAAACATGCAGTAAGTAGGCAAGGAAGCTTGATGACAATTATCTCGTATCAATAAAAATATCGCACCAAATCAACTTGAAAATGTGTTATTATACCTTTAATTAGTTCAGGACTCTAAACATGTGGGTTATACTTACAAAAAAAAATCCCACTGAATGAGGGGAAGAACCAATAAATCTAACACTCGATAGTTAATATGACATGTAGTATTTGAAGAACAACTTTTTGTGTCTCTCTAAAAAGAAAAGAAAAATGAGTGTTCCACAACTCATTTTGGGATGTAGGGAGAGGAGATATAAGGGAATGAGTGATAGACATGAATGTTGATGTGGTGCAAAAGAAAAATAGAGGTGGACAGAAAAATTAATCGTAGAGGGATCAAGTGTTGTTAAGATGTGGAAAAGAAATTGCATAAAAGATGCTAATTTTAACTTGGCACGGATGAGAAAACCCTCCCCATTGGTGACTTGTCTTTCATCTGATACGTGAGGAATATTTTAGAGATAACGCACCTTTGGGAGAATAATTACAAAGAGTTTCCACTTCTAATTAGCAGGACTGCTTGTATTTGATTAAATAAGTTACCACCCCTCTCAAGTCTCAAAAAATCCAAGGAAGATGCAGCAACAGTGCAAAACCAGGGAAAAGCAATTAGGGAAAATTAGGCATAATATTAAAATCAATGTACATTATTCATTAAAGTCATAGGCCATGAAGTCAGTGACCAACCCTCTCAATGAAGTCAGAAGTAAATATAACAATTGATGGTGTTTCTTTCAATTTGCTTTCTTTTTCTTTAAGGTACGGGGTCATGAAATCATAAAGCATAGTTAGAGCGAAAAATAATTTGTTCAGTCAGTGTGAACTTCAAACAGTTAGCAAAATAGCAGAGAAAACTAACATCCAACATCAAAATAATCAAACCGCCACTGTCCATCTAGAAAAGTTTCAAATAACCAAAATGGTAAAACAAGAACATATTGCTAAGATCTAATGTCAAGATATGTATGAATTGATGGAAATTCAAATCTCACAGCTACAAACTACAAAGATCTTCTTCAGATTAGTCCATTCATCTTCAGCTTTCTTCTTATTGTTTAGGGCAACTTGCATTTTGGCACCCATTTTGCTACTTGATTTTTTAGCTGCTTGTTTTCAACATCACAATTATCCAAGGCTCTCTTTAGCTTGTCTCTGGCCTCAACCAAAACACTTGTCCTTTGTTCTAGTTCAACAATCTCAGAATTGATCTTTTCCAATTGAATTTTACCTTCAGAGACATTTGAAATAATTTGGTATTGGCGAGCCTTAACCCTTTCCAAATTCTTTGATTATAGAGACCTTGATTGGAGCAGCTGATCATAATCTTGGAGTGGATAATTTTTCGGGCAGTCACAAATCTAACATCAACACCTTCAGTGAAAGTTTTAATTCGTCAATTACAGGATCAAGCTTAAAAGGAACTTGGTCTTGAAATTGGACAAGTTGATCCAAAACTTAATGGAATTGTTGCTTGACTTCATGAACAGAAGAGATAGTTCCAAGGGAGGTTTCCAAAAGGGTCTCCAATTTTTCAAGAATAGCTGCCATGCATATTTGGACATTGGACTTCAATCTCTGAAACATTAGTTGAGAGAGTTGACATGGGAAAACTCTTATTACTTCCACATAACATTGTCTCGAGCTCGATTAATTGGATCCCAATCTGGTTCATGATGAGGATTGTCGTTTTCCACGAGAGCATGAACTTTCTCAAGCATGACTAGCTCAGAACATTTGTCTACTTGCTTGTATGTCGAGTCTTTTTCTTCTAACACTTAAATATTCTGATTTGACTCGATATTGGAAGCACTCGAGTTTCAAAAGGGTATAGTCTGAAAATTTTATTAAGTTTTATTTGTCAAATTAAGACAAAGGGTGAGAAGAAAGAGTTTTAATGAGCTGTGTTTGTATAGATATTGAAATTAATAACATATAAAATTTTTGTTTGGATAAATTTTTTCAATTAATATAAAAAAATTTGACAGAAAAAATGATTTTTTTTTCATAAGTTATAGTTAACTTGTTTATAAGTTAAAAATAAGTTTTTAAAAAGGTTAATATGAGAGAAATTTTAAAAATTAATTTATACGAAAGTTTATTTTAGTATATGACTTTTTTTTTTTTTAATTTTTCATAAAAATAATTTTAAAAAATTTATCTAAATAGGTTCAAAGTATTAAGAGACAAGAAAAAATACTTCCAATTTTATTTCTATTTAGTATCAATGTAATACATAACTTTTTACAAATCACGACATAACTATTAAAATAATTATTATAAAAATCTACACATTTTAACTACGTATACAATGGTTTATGAATAAACATCGTAAAACTATCGGTATATAAACTATTTACTCATTTCAATATAGCGAAAAATTAAGAACAATAGTACTAATACATATTAGTTACTTACTGGATTGTCAGATGTTGATCTTCTGTAGCAATCCTCTTCCTTGAAACTTTGTTGTTCTCTCTTTGTAACGCATGCTGTTGAAATTGAATGAAACAAAATAAAAAATTAATCATTAATTTTTCTTTACAAAATTTAATCTCACAAGCCATTATTGCTTTTAGAAATTTTTGTAGATCAAACAATGAACATATCTGTATTTCCTATTCGGGGGTGACTCAGAAAGAACGAGGCAAAAAACAAAGCCGCATAAGCCATCACATGGAGACGCGGAGTTCTATTGAAGCCCCTTCAGCATGAAAGTTGAAAGGGTATGTTCAATAATTGAGTGAAGTTTTTCACCAAAGATTAAAATACTTTTTAGTATAAATAATTTGACCAAGAGAAATGAATGAGTCATAATTTTTTTTTATTAAAATTATATAGTTATATTAGGATTCAAACTTAAAATTCTGCCCATACTATTTCAATTCTCCATTCCTAAGCTAGTTCCAATAAACAAACATAATTTGAAATAAAAAGATAAAGAAAAAAAAATGAGAGGAAAGAAATAAGTTTTCTTTTGTTTGATTTTGCAAGAAAAATAATTGTACTCACAAAAAATTAATTATTTACAATTTTAGGACAAAATGAAAGAAATGGTGTAAGTTTGAAGGAAAAAGATAAATATTATTGAATTAATTTATATTATTAATTTTATTTTATATTATTTTAAGTGATATATATATATATATATATATATATATTTATTTATTTATCTTGTGTATTCTCCGGTATTTTACCCTATACATATTAAAATATTTCTATCACGGTCCATTTTTGCATTTATCCCATTATCCAATCTTGTCATCATTCTGAAAAAATAACCAACTTTGACATTCAACACATGAAGATAGTTTCGTAACTTAATACTAATTCCCTCTTATTTTTTTTTATTAGGAAACTAATCCCCTCTTCACATTCGCAAACATAATACTCTCATCTTTATAAAAATAAAATATAAATATGATAGTTAATAGAATTCTGATTTTTTATTCTCTCTTTTTTTTTTTCTCGAAAGGTAAATATTCTCTCTTTTATCTTTATCTACCAAATCGTATTACTTATTCCATTTACATTCATCGAATATTTTTATGACTACTGAAATAGTTTTCTTTACTTCGTGAAGAATAATTCAGAAGAAAAGATACTTTCTTTTAATAAAGTATTTATTGTGAATATGCACATATTTTTTTTTCCTTAACATGATATATTCCTTACATAACATTCTAATTCTAATTCATAACAACTTGATCAAAAAATAGACACAATTAAATCATTTGCGTCAACATAAGTTGTTAAAAAAATAATTAATTAAGGATAAAATTAATAATTTATATTTAAACTAAATATTTTTAAGAACTTCTATATTTTAAAAATAAAAAATATTTTTTAATAAATTTTTTTCAAAAATATTTTTAACCTTCTACTGTAATTTGTAATATTTACTATTATTCTCTATTATTCTAAGTTCGCAGACAAGTGAGAGAATCGGTAGTCAAATCCTGCTAAAGCTTAAATGGGCATTATTTGCTTTCGACTAACCCCAATTGTAATTTTCAACTGTAATAAATAAATAAATAAATAAATAGTAAATTCCATTAACAGCTAATCCCAAGCGTGTAGTTCAGTGATAGGGATTGATCCTTGCTTAAACAAGGCCAGGAGTTCAAATCCTATTTTGTGTATCCAACCGCGTTAAATATCGAGACTAACTATCCCAAAAAAAAAAATTGCATTAACAGCTGAAAATAAAAAAACCCAACCCAAAAACCCTAGAAAGTAGAAACCTCACTATGAAAGAAAGAAGCGCGTAGCCGTAGCATACAATTTTTTTATTTCCATTTCTATAATAAAGAAAAAGAAAAAAGAAATTCGAAGCCAAAACCCAAACCCACAGCACACTATGCTATGCTATGCTCTCTAATCCGTTTCCGCCGTTACGCTTCTCCGCACTCTCCACTCCTCCGCCTTCCGATTAACCGTTTCTCCTCCGCCGCCGCCGCCGCCATGGTTGCTCATGCCAAGGACGAGGCCTACCTTCAGGCGGCGATTCCGAAGCGCGTCCGTTTGTTCGAGACAATCCAGGCGGAGCAGCGCACGCAGCGCCTCTCCCTCTCGCCGGATCCTATCAAGGTGAGTCTCCCCGACGGCAACGTGAAGGAGGCGAAGAAATGGCTCTCGACTCCGCTCGACGTTGCGCGCGAAATCTCGAAGAACCTCGCCAACAACGCGCTCATTGCCAAGGTCAACGGAGTGCTATGGGACATGACGAGGCCGCTTGAGGACGATTGCCAGCTCCAGATCTTCAGGTTCGACGACGACGAAGGCCGCGACACTTTCTGGCACTCCAGCGCGCACATTCTCGGCCAGGTCTAGTTTGGTTCGAATCTTTTTGTTTCAATTTGGATTATGCTGAATTGATTATTATTTTTTGTATTGGCTGTGTGCAGTCTCTTGAGACGGAGTATGGATGCAAGCTTTGCATTGGACCATGCACTACCAGAGGAGAGGTTTGTGTCTGCCTTTTCTTTTGGTGTCATGTGATTGTGTACTGTTGACTCTGTTGTGATATATTGAATGGGAAAGTGGATGTTATTGTTCAGGGATTCTATTACGATGCGTTTTACGGTGACTTGGGTCTCAATGACGATCACTTTAAACAAATTGAGGCTGGAGCATTGAAGGCTGTTGCGGTATTTTTCCTTTTTAAAAAAAAAAAAAATGTTTACTGCTGCTATAGCTGCTACGGTGGCTATTCAAACTATATCTGGTTACCATGACGAGCAACTGTTACAACTTGCAATAAGGTTTCCTGTTTATGTTGATTTTTCCTTGGAGTCTTGTGTTTTTTGAGACTACTATAGAGACTCAGACTTTGTAGTTGAATACTTGTTGAGTGAAATAACAAATAGTCTTCTGAATTTTGGTTCCTTTGAAGATAATTTTTATCTGGAAGTCTAATGTTTACAAGGACTGTATTTGGAATTTTAAAATGGAATTTGATTTGATTTGTTGACAAAACCTAGGGTTCGCATTGTTTAAAGAAAAGAAAATGATTTGATTTTTATGGAAAATGCTCTTCTAAAGAGTGTTTTCTCCAAAGAGTGCAAGTAATGGTGTATCCATCCTTGAATTTTAGTAGGTTTAGATCTCAATGCACTTTAAATTAAATAAAAAGGTAGATACTTACACCCTTTCTATTTTTTAGAGACAACCTCACTTTGGATGTGTGCTCTTTATTATGATAATTGATAAACATTACTTTTGTGTTGATATTTGTGATGGATGATGGGGGTTATATTTCCAGGAAAAGCAACCCTTTGAACGTATTGAAGTTACGCGTGATCAGGCACTTGAGATGTTCTCGGATAATAAGTTTAAGGCAAGTATAACTTTTCTTCGGGGGTGGGTGGGAGGTAAATATTATCTAATATATCTTTTGTATGACATAACCATATTGATCTGAACTATATTTCCTATTTTCTTTTTTTTTTCACCTTTAATTTTTTATATTACAAATTCACAATTTGCTGCTATGGTTGTGTTATTGTGATCAGGTTGAGATTATCAATGATTTGCCTCCCGACAAAACTATCACGGTTTACAGGTGTGGTCCCCTGGTTGATTTATGTCGTGGACCCCATATACCTAATACATCATTCGTCAAAGCAATTGCATGTTTAAAGGTATGTGTAGGCTGTCTTATCATGCAACCATTTCAATTTTGATTTATTCATTAACTTATATCAATGACAATTAATTTGGTTATTGGTTTTGGAATTCCAGGCTTCATCAGCATATTGGAGGGGGGACAAAGATCGGGAAAGTTTGCAAAGAGTTTATGGCATTTCTTATCCTGATCAGAAGAGTTTAAAGGTGATTTTCATTTCATAGGTTATTTCTTTGAGTAAACCATCCAACTATTCAGACCAGATGTGGTGGATTGAAGTTACTTGTGGAATAAGTAAATAACTAGCTAGTTGTTGTTATTAGTGTGCTATAACATTGATCAGTGCTCTATGAGTCTCACTGGTGAAGGCTTGTTGTTCCCTGTTCATGTTAAAGTAACTCCACCAATTTGCTATCTTCTTTTCTACATTCTGTTTTCTCTTTTTCTTATTCCCTCTATTCAATTCTTTTCTCTTTGTTATGCTAAAAGACTAAGTGGTCCAAGATGTACTCATTTTCTTGAGAAATTGTCGCTGCATTCCAAATTTTCCAGGAGATATATATTTTTTTTTTATATTTAGCTGTTTTGAATTTTATATTTTTATATTCCAAATTTTCCAAATAACTTTTCTAGTCACAGGTGACAGCCTATGAGCCACCTATTGCTAGATTTGCTCTATTTGCTAGGTATTAAGTGTTAACCAATTTTTCTTAAAATTGGACTGGACCCAATTAAGCATGAACTGGTCCTCTGGCCAGTCCTGTCAACATCCTATATAATTGGAAGTCTTAAGACCAGTCACAAAATCACAGAACTGGTGGTGAATCAGTTGAACCATACTGACTGCCCTCAGTTTGGCTAATTGAACTGGTTGATGACTTCTTTATTTTGAAAATGTAAAATGTCATTAACTCTTTGACTTGGTGCCCTCATGAAAGTGCACCTGTTAATTGCTGCTGCACTTGAACTTCTTAGAGTGAAGCTGGTCTACATCTTTATGGTATTTACTGGATATGAAAGTAGTAGGGTGTGTGGCCATGTCATATGGTGTATTATCATTTGATTTTTTCTTCTTCGTTTTTTTTGTTTTTAAATTTTCAGGAATATTTGCATCGGCTCGAGGAGGCTAAAAAGTACGACCACAGGATTTTGGGTGTGAAACAGGAGCTTATTCTTCATCATGAATGGAGGTATGTTGGGCAGTGTTGTTAAATAACTGTAAACTGTTATAGCACGCCCATAACACTATAACGTGGCATTTTTCTACCCCCTCTGCCATAGGCAATTTGTGAAGGGAGGCCCGGTAAGGATGCCATAGGCCGCAATGGCATGTTTATATGGCAGAATTTTAGCCTTCTGTCTTATTCCTCCCTTGATAACCTTGATGTTGGGTTCATTCTTGTCTTTTTGCAACTTTTAATAAGCTTCTCTGATTGATGTCTTGATCCGTTTTTGTTTGTCAGTCCTGGAAGCTGGTTTTTTCTTCCACATGGTGCTCGGATCTACAACAAACTCATGGATTTCATTAGAAATCAGTACAGAGACAGGGGATATCAAGAGGTTAAGTTTTAGGCTGCATTTGGCTCAATTTCTCTTTTTTGGCTTAAAAGTTACTCCTTTCGGTTGCTTATGTAAGAAACAAATTGGTGCTTTTTTGGTGTCCTAATTATAAGAAACATGGACCCACTTTTAGATGTATTAATTGCTAGTTCTCTTTTATACTCTTAATTTATTGTGAAATCTATTAATAAGATGCCCACTCATTCTCCATGCAAGTTAATGTATTCATTTTCCTGTTATAAGTCACTCTAGTTGAAAAAAATTTGTCCCTTGGATTACATGTGGTATCATTAAATATAATCACTACTTAAACTATTTAATTGTATAAGTAATTTTGAAATAAAATTTAAACTTATGACATTATTAATTAAAATTAACTAACATAACTACTTTCATTGGTCTTGATGAATTAAATTTTTGTTTCTTATATAAGGGACTAGTGGGAGTATTTCAAAGTAAAAATCCAAAATAAGTTTTAAAAATAAAGTAGAAGCTGTTTGTCAGTTTTAGCTTAAAAGCTTCTTTTAAAGTAAAAGCTTCATTTCATTTTCCCACGTTGATTTGTTCACAATGAGGGAGAGGGAGGTTAGAGTATACACACTTATTATTATTATTATTATTATTTTTTAGAAAAGTTACCTCAGTTACCTGTTTTAAGAGCTATTTTTCTCTTATAAACATTAAGCTCCTTAGTGTTTAAAGAGTTTTTCTTCAAATGTGTTTGGCTTAGAAAAACCAAAAAAAAAAAGCTAGGTGAAGCACTTCCTTAGTGTGGGAGTTTCTTAAATTTACAAAAAGCAATATTTTCCCATGTTCTTAGTACTTACATGGAAATGGAATCATCAGGTCATATCTCCTAATGTATTTAACATGGATCTATGGGTGCAATCTGGTCATGCAGCAAATTACAAAGAGGATATGTTTATCTTAGAGGTATGTTTTTGCCCCATATTTATAAATGCTTGTTTGTGTAAGAATGTTGGTTGGAGGGCATATCTTTTTATCTTGCCAGAATCTAGATGAATCATGTGCTGATTCATCTTATTGCTCATGTAATTATTACCTTTATGAATGGTCTATGTGGGTACTGGGACCATTTGTGGTAATTTAGGAAACTAATAGGCTTGTTGGGATTCCTGTGCTATATCTATTACATATTTTATGTTTGCAAAACCTGAAACGTACATTTTGCTGTGACAAGTACAAAACCTCCCAAGTAGCCATTTTTCTAAAATCAATCAAGTTCACTGACCAAAGCTTATTTTATTTTTTATGTGAACTAGATTGACAAGCAAGAGTTTGGGTTGAAACCCATGAATTGCCCAGGGCACTGCCTGATGTTTAAACACAGGGTTCGATCGTATAGAGGTAGTTTTCATTTACATAAAGATTTATCTTTTCAATTAGTATCTTTTATTTTCCTATGTCGGGTAAAGATCTAGTCCACATTTTAGTGTTGAATTCAGGACAATGCACACCTTTGAGCTTCTTGATAAGTGGATTGACTGTTGCCTATATAGGGAAATACAAGTTAGCTCCTTTTTTATGGCTTCAATTTTCCTCTTCCTATGATAAGGCCATAATCTGTTAACACAGGATGACCGGGGCTAGAAGTGTGTGGTTCATCTGGAAGTTGTACTTTTCCATATAATATCACATTGCCAATTTGTAATTTGGCACCAGCAAGAAATCTTCAATCAGCTACCTTTACAAAATTGAACTGTCTATAAAATTATACCTTTGTTGTGGTGAGAGTTGGACACAATTTGTTTTCTATTTTACAAGTGATCTCAAATACTAGGGGCTTATTTGAGGGTTTTTTTTTTAAATTATTTTTTTTTCTTTTAAAAACTGTTCTGTAGATAGTTTTTGAAAAAACCATTTTTGAGAACAAAATACAAGAACACAATCTGTTTTATAACATGATCTCTCCCTGTTACTGTTTCACCATGTCAATGAACCAACAATGCTGAACTAGTAGGCCACACACATCACTATGAATAGCAAATCACTGTCACACCTATGATGTTGAACCCCATCTATTTTTGACTGGTCCTCTCCATCGCCCTAGCTGCGCCACCACAAAGGGGTGGAAATAGGCTAGGTGGCTTATTAGGAGCCGTGGCTTAGCTTGTTTATTAAAAAGATGAGGCTTAGGCTTTTTAGAAAGCCTTTTTAACTAAAAAGACAATAATATTTTAGGCTTTTAAAAATGCTTATTAGGCCAGCAGGCTTAATAGGATGGCCTATTTAAAATATTAAAGAATATGTATTATATATTAATTTATGATTAATATTTATATTTAATATATATAATTATTAATAATATTATATTTAATACTTAAGCTATTGATGTATTATAGAATTTGTATAAAACAAGCTACCTAAATAAGCTTTTAGGCGATGCTAGGTTTTTAAATAGGCCAGAGGTCTGTAACATAAAAAGGCAAGACTTGGTAGTTTTGTTGTACAAAGCTTGGACCCGCCAAAGCTTGACCCGACTGGTTTCCACCCCTATTGCACCACGGCATCAATCTGCCACTGCCAAAATGCCTTGCACTGTCAACCAATAGCCATCACAGCATCACTGTTGCTCCATGCTGGGAATCGGCAATCCTTTCTGCAAGTTAAAGGGATGAAAATGAAAGAGTTGAACCATTTGAAGACCTTTGGGTTGATGACACACCACTTCCTCTTTTCTTGAAGAGACATCAATGAGAAAGAATTAATAAAACAAAACATATTATGAAAACATCTTGAACCTGTTCTGACTTTTTGGTTTTTAAAATCTAATGTTGAAATCATGTTTCCCAAACTTCCAATGAGAACAAATGATATCAAGCAAGTTTTATTGTTTTTAAAAATAAAGAACTGCTTTTAAAAACAATATTCAAACTCACCCTTGTCTCTCTAGCTTGTATTTTAGGTTGATATGCTTCATGAGTTTGAGTGTATAACTTGAAGAACTGGTTTGATTGAGCTGATCTTTTTTATTTGAAATATTATCTCTCAACTTTTTAACGTTTCTGCAGAACTTCCTCTGCGTTTTGCTGATTTTGGGGTTTTGCATCGGAATGAGGCTAGTGGTGCCCTGAGTGGATTAACACGTGTTAGGAGATTTCAGCAGGTAAATCTTTCTTTTGTTTAGCAACAGGATAAACGAAATAAATTTTTTGATGGAAGAGTACTTTTATTGTCAAGGTACAGTGGGGCAGGGAGGCATACATTTTTATGCTTTATTATGGAAGAATTATGGAGGAAAGATATTAGGCGATACCGGAGTAGAAAATGTTTGTTTTTTAAGCAAGTTGGCAATTAGTGACTGTGGGGTTGAAAATTATATAGACACGGACACTGGAGATTGTCCTACTGATCTTAAAAATAAAACTCACGGATTGTGTTTATATGTGTTTATAATAGTGTGCTAAAATGTCATTTTTTCCTTCATGATGGTTCTTGTTGTTCATTTCTTTAACATACGATACAATTACAACTCAGAACATTGGAAGCCAGTTATCTAGATCATGGTAGTTGAATCGAGATACAAATAATGTATCGGAAGTGGAAGAGCTCAGAGCTCTTGGGTTGGTGTTAGGCTAGGTACGAGCTGACTGCACCAAGCGTAATTATATTTATAAATAATTGTTTTAAATTGATGCTTATGCATGTTTAAAGTTAAAGTTTTAGATCATATATGTATGTATGGTGCGATATGATTCATATGTATGTTTGTAATGATACGTATGAATGTTTGAATATGAATATGTTTATTGATCATAATGATGGATAGATCATTTATGATGAATGATGCATTATTGCATGTGATGTCTTATGACATGTGTATGATTGTTGATCATGATGGTGGGCAGACCATTATGATGTATGATGCATGATTGCATGTGATGCCTATGGCATGAGTCTAGCCTAGGACTTGAGGAGAGGAAAAATATTT